GGCTGTGATCATCAGCTTCTCATAGCAAAACCCAAGCTTAAACTGAAGAAAGTAGGAAACACTACTGGGCTAGGCAGGTATAATCTAAACCAAATCCCTTAGGAATATGCAGTGGAAGTGAAGAAGAGATTCAAGGAACTCGATTTGGTGGACAAAGTGCCGGAAGAACTATGGATGGAGGCTTATAACATTGGACAGGAAGAAGCAACAAAAACCATCCCAAAGAAAAGGAAATGCAAGAAAGCAAAGTGGCTGTCCAACGAGGCCTTACAAATAGCAGAGAGGAGAAGGGAAGCAAAATGCAAGGGAGATAGGGAAAGTTGCAGAAAACTGAATGCAGACTTCCAAAGAATAGCAAGGAGAGTCAAGAGGGCCTTCTTAAATGAACAATGCAAAGAAATAGAGGAAGATAACAGAAAAGGAAAGACCAGAGATCTGTTCAAGAACATTGGAGCTATGAAAGGAACATTTTGTGCAAAGATGGAGGGCCTGGTGTGCTCTGGTCCATGGGGTCACGAAGAGTTGGACACGACTTAACAACTAAGCAACAAAATTGCTGAATAACCATCTTCTGAGCTTGCCAAGAGACCCATTATATGATGGATTTTATTGAGTTAAAATGCCATTACCTTCTGCCACAGTCAAGGGCCAGGGAGCTCCAGTGTTCTAATGATTTAGCAAATGTTCCCACAAAAAAAGCTGGATTGCATTATAGTTATGCTCCTCCCTTTATGTTTCGCGTTGCCCTCCATTGTGGGACAGATCTATTGAAATAGAACGAAAATGATGAGTTTGCACAGCTATTTGTGTTCGTTTTTCATTCTAAGAGGGGGAAGAAATGACACACATTATAGCATTTCAAGGACCTGAGCCATATCATGCAGCAAACGCAATAGGGCTCTGCGGCAACTTTAAAAAGCTAATAAGTTCTCCTTGGCAAACAACAACAACAAACAACAAACAACAAACAACAAACAACAAACAACAAACAACAAACAACAAACAACAAACAACAAACAACAAACAACAAACAACAAACAACAAACAACAAACAACAAACAACAAACAACAAACAACAAACAACAAACAACAAACAACAAACAACAAACAACAAACAACAAACAACAAACAACAAACAACAAACAACAAACAACAAACAACAAACAACAAACAACAAACAACAAACAACAAACAACAAACAACAAACAACAAACAACAAACAACAAACAACAAACAACAAACAACAAACAACAAACAACAAACAACAAACAACAAACAACAAACAACAAACAACAAACAACAAACAACAAACAACAAACAACAAACAACAAACAACAAACAACAAACAACAAACAACAAACAACAAACAACAAACAACAAACAACAAACAACAAACAACAAACAACAAACAACAAACAACAAACAACAAACAACAAACAACAAACAACATGGACTATGTCTGAGGCGCTGGATTGTCCTCTGTCCTAAATAAAATGTGTTTGTCTTTGAGTGTGACCCTCAGAATCAATGACCTCCTGTCACTGGGAATCTTGTTCAAATCTTGCAAAAATCAAAGCTGTGTTTTCCTTTCCTGGTTCACTCTATCTCATATTGGATCTTCCTCTTGTCTCGTTGCTTTTAACTTTTTCTGCCATTATCCTTTCCAGCGTAACTTCTTGTGATATATTTAAAGTTCAGTCATGAAAAAAGTCCAGGTTTATTTTGATTTAGCGCCCATTTATCTTTCGGCGGGTCCATTTGTAAAGTTCTCCTCCAATTCCACATTTCAGATTAACATATTTTTCCCCTGTCAGCCTTCTTCATGTCTGAACTTACGAAGTTCTACACAGCCGAATGCACAGTTACAAGATGGGGGATGCTTGGCTTAGTAATACAGTGAGTAAAAGAGCGTGGAATCGCCGTAGATCACCAGCTGAAGATGAGCCAACAGTGTGATGTGGCTGCAAAAAAGGCCAATGCTATTTTAGGATGTATGTACAGAAGTAGAGCGTCCAAATCCTGTGAGGTACTAGTTCCCCTCTATTTGACACTGGTGAGGCCTCATCTGGAGTCCTGTGTCCAGTTCTGGACACCCCACTTCAAGAAGGATGCTGAGAGATTGGAACAAATTCAGAAGAGGGCAACAGAGATGATCAGGGGTCTGGAAACCAAGCTCTAGGAGGAAAACCTGAAAGAACTGGGCATGTTTAGCCTTGAGAAAAGAAGGCTGAGGGGAGGGAGGATAGCACTTTTCAAATACTTGAAAGGTAGTCCTAGAGAAGAGGGACAGGATCTGTTCTCGATCATCCCAAAGTGCAGGACAAGTCATAAATGGGCTCAAGCTATAGGAAGCCAGATTTAGGCTGACTTAAGAATATATACAGTAGTTCAGAAGAAGCATGGATTTCACTGGCACAAATGTGTGCCTGAGAAGGAAGACAGCAAAGTTCAGATCACAGACCCACCCTTTTTTTGGCCACAATATCTAAAGTTATTGAAATGCTGCCCTTTGGGTGCCTTTAGCTATCCTCCCGGAGCATCAGCTTAAGAAACCCCTGGATAATCTTTCCAAACAGCTTATTGCCTGCAGTGAGTGTGGGCAGTACTTTGACTGAGCCAACTCTTGCATCAGATGAATTCAGGCTTATTACGTACTTCATGTTGATCTCCCAATCTCTCTCTCTCTTGTGTAAACCTCCCTTAGACGCCTGGGAAGAACAGGAAGGCAGCCTTCTGTGTTTCAGTGTCTCCCTTGCGGCTTTTGGGCCGAACTTTCTTTGCAGGACAGTGGCCTTGGGAAGGGAAGAGACTGGATGGGCAAACTGTGGACCTTCGGGTGTCAACGGACTACCATTCTCATAATCCCTCGCTTTGTGTGGTGCTGGCTAGGCAGATGGGAAATAGATCCTCTGGGAGTCCATGTTGTCCACAATTAATTTCTTCTGTTCATTGTCTTCTCTTAAAGAAA